GCCCGGGAGCCCCGTCCCGGGGGCCGAGGCCGCGCCCCGCCTGAGGCATTAAATGGCGTCTCCCCCCTCGCAGAAGCCGATCCTGCTGCAGGGCCATGAGCGCTCCATCACGCAGATCAAGTACAACCGGGAGGGAGACCTGCTTTTCACCGTGGCCAAGGATCCCGTGAGTGCGGCGGGCCCTGCCCGTCCCGTCCCGTCCCGTCCCGTCCCCCCCCGCGTGAAAACCGGCCCCCACCGTGATAATTGACGGGCTGTTCATCAGTCCCGTTAATTAATCCGTCTGGTAAGAGGGGCGCTTGGTTGTTTCCTTCTCCCAGATTGTCAACGTTTGGTATTCGGTGAACGGCGAGAGGCTCGGCACCTACAACGGCCACACGGGAGCCGTCTGGTGCGTGGATGCAGACTGTATCCTTTGACCGCGGAAACCAGTTTGTCCGTCCCGTGTTGTTCTTTACGGTGATTCACTTGAGCCGATTCCTCCCAACTGCTGCGCTGTTCCCTCTTGAAGAGGAGCAGGGGGGCGATGCAGCCCGTTTAACTCTTCTGCTGTCTTTCCCTTACTCCGTCTTTTGGGTATTTTTCTTCCCGGGCTGCCGTTTGGAGTAACGTGTGCAGCGTGCCCCGTCTGCTCTCCTTTGTGCTTCGTTGCTTTTGCCGCGGTGGCCCTGGGAGCTCAGGGAAGGTGTCCGAGTTGCACAAGGTCTTCCGTCTCCAGCGTGGGCAGCAGGTAGCGGAGACAAAAATGTGCAAAGGTTGTGTTAACGCAAGAGCTGGAGCCTTTTTCTTTAAGATTTCAAGCGGAAAGTTGTGGGTTTTGTAACGGGAGCACTTGGACTCTGTGTCTGTCTGTACTGGAGTGTTGCCGGTCCTGGAATGGAACTTGTCCAATCTCTGTGTAATACGGCTTTTGAATCTTGTGTATAAATATTCTCTGGGAATTTAGACAGTAGCTTTCTGGGACTGAGAACGCGCTGATATTCCCTAACTGGTGACCTAGGGGACACACGACACGTGCTCACCGGCTCTGCGGATAACAGCTGTCGGCTCTGGGACTGTGAAACGGGTGAGACTCTCCTCTTCCCGCGTAGCTGCCTTTGAGTCACAGCTCTGTCCTGCCGTGAAGCCTGCTAAGCCTGGAGGACGTGGTGGCGGTGTAACGTGTGCTTGTTCGCCCCTCTGAAAGGAGTCTGAATCCTAACTCAGACTGCCGGAGGGGAGGGTCTGTGTGTGCGTGCCTGGTTTCTGTTGAATATTTAGTCAATTTACGCACTGCCCAAGCAGTCGAAACGTGCGGTTAGCGCTTGCAGGTCACCGAACTTGCTTGTCGGCTACGCCCGATGCTCTCGTCCTCCCTCTGACCCTGCCGTTCAGCTGCTCGTTTTCATTAACCTCGCAGTGAAGGACCCGGTGAAGTGACTGGCGGTTTCTGCTCTGTGTTCAGGAAAGCAGCTCGCTCTGGTGAAGACCAGCTCAGCGGTGAGGACGTGTGGCTTCGACTTCGGAGGAAACATCATCATGTTTTCCACAGACAAGCAGATGGGCTATCAGTGTTTTGTGAGCTTCTTTGACCTCCGGGACCCCAGCCAGATCGGTGAGGAACCTGGGCCGGTGCCTGCACCAGGGAATAAGGGGAAGCGTTGATCGCCGGTGCCACTGTGTCTGTCTGTCTGTCTGTCTGTCTCCTTCCTTCCTTCCTGCAGAGAACAACGAGCCTTACATGAAAATCCCCTGCAGCGACTCTAAAATCACTAGTGCTGTGTGGGGCCCTCTGGGGGAGTTCATCATCGCGGGACATGAGAACGGAGAGCTGAACCAGTTCAGCGCCAAGGTCAGTCTGATAAGGAACAGCATCTCCCTCGGGCAGCAGTGCCGGGGGGAGGATATCGCGGCATTCCTGTTGTGGTGATGGGACAGAACATGAGCTTTTTGGCTCAAGCCAGCAGCCTCATGGGAGGATAGCTAAAGTACGCGGCTCCCTTGGGCGAGGCTGATGTACCAACGTCTGCGCTGCTGCTGACAGCGACACCTCCTGAATTGTTTTTAAAGGGGAAGTTGCGCGTACGCTCGCTTCGCTTGCCAGCACCCTGAAACTGCTTTCTTTACCCTTCAGTCAGGGGAGCAGCTTTCAAACATCAAGGAGCACACCAAGCAAATCAACGATATCCAGACCTCCAGGGACATGACCATGTTCATCACTGCCTCCAAGGACAACACAGCCAAGGTGAGGCCTCCCGTTGGAACTGCAGTGGACTGTTGGTATTTGCTTGCAGGACCGCTGCTCAGAGCCGTGGCTATCGCGGCGGTTCCCTCAGGAATTTGAGTAAGCGTAAAGTCAAAGCTCAGTGGGAAAGTTCAGTGAGAAAGGGGAGGCACCACCACGTTAAATTAAGAGCCAGGCATCGGAAACAACATTGCCAAAAATTAAGGCTGCAGTTTGCTACCTCCGGAGGGTGATAGAGGTGAGAGCTACCTTAGGCCGGTATTTTGGGATTCTGGGGACATGTTTTTTGGGATTTGGGTGCCCATGAGTGACTACAGAGCTAACATCTGCCCAGGTGAGGACTAGCAGCCAGATTTGTGTGACTTAGTTGGGCTGCCAGCCCTCTTGCAGAATAACTCTCTCCCTTTTGCCTCCTAGCTATTTGATTGCACGACACTTGAGCATTTGAAGACGTTCCGGACGGAGCGACCGGTGAACTCTGCCGCACTCTCCCCCATTTTTGATCATGTAAGAATGAGCTCGCTCATCGTAACGGCCTTACTGTGACTCCTCCGTTGTCCCAGGTAGCTGGAAGGCAGAGTGTCGCCAGTCCAGCTAAAAAACACGGCTGTAGGATGCGTCTGGGGAACTTTACTGCGGTCTGGTGCAGGGAACAAGGGTTTGTGTCCTCTGATCTTCAAACGAGTCTGTCTGGGAGGCGGGAACTTCTCTGGGGCTGGAGTCAGGCCTGCTCACGAGTTCGTGGGATCTGCTGCCTTAGTCGGAGGCCTCCCCAAGGCTTGGCTCTGTCCTCCCCTGGCTGCCCCTGAGCGTGTGGTGTAAGCAGCACTGAAGTGTCGTGGCTTCTCTCCTTTGCAGGTCGTGCTTGGCGGTGGGCAAGAGGCCATGGACGTGACCACGACCTCCACCAGGATTGGCAAATTTGAGGCGAGGTTGGTCCTTTTCCTCTGGCAGGGCTGAGTCCTCACCTGGAGGACTCCTGCCAGACTCCTGCCGGTGCAGGAGTGCTCGTCCCAGGGCATCTTGTTCCTGGCAGTGCTGGAGGGGTCGTTAAACTTGCAGAGCTTTTTTGAGGAAACCCCTGTCCCTACCCAGGCTCCTGACTTCTTGTGGTAATTTAAATCTTCTTCCTTCTCCCAGGTTCTTCCACCTGGCTTTTGAAGAAGAGTTTGGCAGAGTGAAGGGTCACTTCGGTCCGATAAATAGTGTTGCTTTTCACCCCGATGGGAAGAGGTGAGGATCTCTGTGGGTCCTGCAGCGTGCCCCAGTCAAGCCTAGCCCACCTTTTGGTTAGGATATGGCTGGGCTCACCGGAGCTCTGCAGTGGGAATGGAGCCAGCACCTTCCCGAGTTCTCCTATTCCAGCCCTGCTGCCTCCCCCCAGGCTGCCCGGCGGGTTTCACTTACGCCCTGTCGCACATTTTGGCTGCGTCACCGATACTGTTTTCTGTCCTGCGACTCCTTTATTAGTTTTTAGAGGGGGTCGTGAGAACAGACTCCAGTACTGGTATAAACCTAGACACTGTGAGCTCCTGACAACATCGGTGACTTTATCTTGTTTTTCCTCCCGTACAGTTACAGCAGCGGGGGTGAGGACGGCTACGTTCGCATCCATTACTTCGATCCCCAGTACTTCGAGTTTGAATTTGAAGCTTAAAGGAGGACTTCCTCTCCTCTTCCCTCTCCTCTTCCCATCCGTCGGCTCCTGCGCAGAACTGTTGTAAGGCCTGAAGTTAGTCTGCTCCACGGGAGGCAGCGGGAAGCAGTTAGCAGCAAACCCGGGGGCTGTGTGAAGGTGGGGAACTAGAAACCCAAGCAGCTCAAAAGGGCAGGACTGGCTTTCATGGGAGGTAGAGCGAAGGCGAGGGAGTCGGGCTGGCTGCCTGCCCGCCCCTGGGGATGCTAGCTTCCTGCCCTGCTGGGCATATTTATACACCAGGGGAGAAAAAAAATCATCAGGAAATAAATAGAAATCTTTTATAAACACAAGGAACGAGGGAGTCGGGCTGGCTGCCTGCCCGCCCCTGGGGATGCTAGCTTCCTGCCCTGCTGGGCATCACCAGGCACCAGGGGAGAAAAAAAATCATCAGGAAATAAATAGAAATAAACACAAGGAAAAGCACCTCCATGGGTTTTTGGGTTTGGGGTTTTTTTTTTTTCAGTCTGGAACAAAATTAACCTGAGCGCTTTGCTTTCCCGGCTCTGCTGGCAGCGTCTTGCTCCCCACCCGTGGGCAGACAGCAGTGCTGTTACTCCTGGGGCCTCTGTCCGCCCCAGGTTAACTCTTTCCCGAGGAGGATCTGCAGCTACGGTTCAGGTCCGGCCCCGAAGTGTCAGCAGGCTGGAAGTGCAGCAGCCGGTCATTGTTTTCCAGATGACACACACGCGCCCAGTTCTGGTGCTTTGTTTATTTGCTGGACTGAGCCTGAGCCAACTTTCCTCATGGAACAGTTATTTCCTGCGCTAGTACGCTTGTGTTGCAAATCCTCATCCTTCCAGCCCTCTCGCCCTGTGTCTGTCTGTCTGGAGGGGTGGTTTGTATCTCCTTCCTTCCTCGAAACTGGGTTCAAGGGCAGATTTTTCCCGGCCTGGCTCCCAGCTCGGAGCGATTGACGCAACACTTTTAAACTGCAGCCAGCGTGCCCTTTGTGGAGAGGGTGTTGCGGGTTTAGGGTGTTCTGCCGCTTAGTTTTTGCTGTGCTGACCGTGCCTGGCAGCCGGGCAGGGGCTGCGACCCAGGCACGCCGCGGCGGGAGCTGCCGGAGGCCGATGCTGCTGGGCACATCGACCTCCCGCTGCCTCCTGCCCTTCTGCTCCGCCGGCGGTCCAGGTACGAGCGCTGCTGAAATCCTGCCGGGGAAGAGAGCGGGAAGGAGCCCCGCTTGCGAGGGGGCTCGTAAGAGCGGGAAAAGCAGGCGCGGGCTGCGAGAGAGAGCACTTTACTGAAACAAGCTCAGCCTGCGCAGCCCGGAGGCTGCGAAAGGGAGTCTGTGCCCCCCTCCCAGAGCTGTCCTCCGGGCTCCGCGGGGCCTGTGTCCTGCGCAGCGCTTCCCGTGGAAAGCTGCAGTGTCACCTTGGCCCAGCAGCCCGCCGGGACCGAATTGCCCACGCTGCCGTTCATCTTTCGTTCTCCGTCCGGGCAGCAGGGTCAGAGAGGGACCGGCTCAGCCTGTTCCCTGTGCTCTCCTTGACGGGGGAGTCGTTGCCCTCTACTAACTGCTGGATCTCTGCCCAGGCCTCATCCAGGTACTGGGATGAACGGATCCATCGGAAGAATAAACCTAGGAGAGCAGGGGCTGTGTGTTACTTCAGCCCTGTCGAGAGAGGGAAAAGCAGAGCGGCTTTCCCTCACCCAGCCCCGCTCGGAGCTGAAGACGGGGTTTGAGGGCGCTGGACCCAGCTTACCCTGCCAGAGCTGGATGCTCTGGGGCTCGACGGAGGGCCAGATGACCAGGGCGTTGTGCGAGTAGAGAGGGTTCAGGTACTTCTTCTTCTCCCCAGGCTGGTTCAGCCAGGCCCAGAGGGAGTGCGTGCTCTCCTTCACTTTACACAGGCACCTACGGGAGAGTCGAGACGTGTTTCAGTCCCTGCCAGGGGTCGCGGGGCCAAGTTTGACCCAAGCTGCGACCGGGAGGGCTTCGCTCTGCCCTATCCGGCAGCGTGAAGGCGGGGTCAGCCCCTGCCCTGGCCACGGCAGGCTCTGCCAAGGGCACAGAGTGGCGACCGCGGCATTCCTCCTAAGGGACAGCGCCGTCCCCACCTCCCGCCCCACTCGCCTTTCTTTCACGTTGTTGCAGAGGAAGGTGCCGTAGGCGGAGGCGTAGGCGTTGTCGAAGAGGGTGAGGAGGAGGCGCTCGCCGAACTCCAGGGAGAAGGGGAACTGGCGGCTCAGCTGCCACACGCAGTCGAGGAAGAGGAGGAAAAGCGGGGCCTCCTGCTTCAGCCGGGCGTGGGAGTAGGCAGAGCGGGCGCAGCGGAGGTGGAAGGGATGGCCGGCCTGCGGGACCCCCCCCGAGGGGGAATAACAGGGGTGAAGGGGAGCTGGGGGTGCCGAGCTGG